AATGCCGAAAGCCCGTTTCGGGCCGGTGGCGACAGGAGTCAAAGGTGGAAACCAAAGATACAACACAATGTAACATGTAGTTGACTCGATGACTAGTATCACAACAAGAAATTTTAAATATATTAAAACTACTTCAACACAAGCTTCCTTGTGAATATTATGTATGTTAGATGATTATGGCAAGCATATCGGTCACAAAAGTAAATAGTAATGAGTAATTGTCATTTTTCAAGAGACTTGTGTAATATATGGCAATAAGTACAATTAATAACTAAATTAGATAAAAATATTTTCATTAATTGTGTTGGTTTATAAAAGAAATATAAAAACGCAAAAGAAGGATAAAATTCTTTTTGATATTTTACCAAATAGTTAGAAAGCAGTTTAGATTAAAAATTATGTGATGTATTTATGTTGGGATTAAATTTCACCAAACCTCACTCTCGTGCATTTAATCACTTAAATCCTCTTTCACATTTAATATTAATGTCAGTCTACTAGTTTACTCAAACCCTAACTCCTTAAAAGAAAAATTCTAAGTTATCTTATTAAGCATCAATCCCTTAAATACTTAATAAATAAACTTGCATTAATAAAAAAGATTTAAGACAATTAATGAGACAAGTTCTATCCCTAGATACAAACTCCATTAGGTATTTTGTTTAAGTTCTAAATTACAATTAAAAAAGATTTAAGACAATTAATGAGACAAGTTCTATCCCTAGATACAAACTCCATTAGGTATTTTGTTTAAGTTCTAAATTACAATAGATATTTTCCAATACCTAATGAATCAAATATCAAGTTATGGTTGATCACTCCACAACAAGCATTAAGAGTAGAAACAAAATACTAACATTAAAATAGAAAGACATATATAAATATATAAAATAGTGCAATTTACATAAGAGTTCAGTTGGTTACATCTAACACTAACAAAAATAGACTTAACTTTTCATTATCACGAAGAGCACAAAAAAAATCAATGGTGAAAGATGGAGAGCCAAAGAGAAAATTAGAAGTCTTGAAAGAAGTCCTAGAAACATCCAAATGAACCCTAAACTCGTCCAAAGTTGAAAAAAGTCAAATAATGCCTCCAATTTCTCGAAGAGAGAGATAAAAGTGAGTAAAAAGTGTCATGTCATAAAAACGGTGTGCGACACAAGCTAATCCATGCCAAGTGTAGGCACACAAATGAAAAAGAAAGGCTATCAACCAAGATGATGTCAAGTGCGAGTTGAGTGGTGCTCAACACTAGCATCAAGAATGGCCTTTGTCAAGCTAGAACTAGGCATGAGTAGAGTGAAACTCGACGCCAAAGAACCTGATGCTCTCTGTCATAATGGTGGCGAGCATGATAAGAGTGACGCACAACGCTAGTGATCTTTAAAGAGGACCTTCAAAAATTCTTTTCTTCACTTCTATGTGTCCTCTCTTGATTAACATTCTCCAAAATGTATCAAATGTTAGACAAAAAATGAGGATTGGTGGTGTAATTAGATAATGGTAACCAATATCCAATTAATTACAAAAAAAATCATTAATAGGATGATTAAGCTAGTTAAAAGTTATAGAAGATATATTTTTATTAATGTAAAATGACCAATAATTATAAATAAAATTAAACATTATCAATGTGTTATAATTGTCAAGGAATGAGACATAAAAGTTTCACCTCTTTGCTAGACCTATCAAGGTACAAGGTATAAACATATTAAATTTGAAGCATTGTTTATTACTAAACCCAAATATCAGGCATGTGGTATATGGTGTCCTTGGTTGTTGGAATATTAGTCTATGGAGATCGTTAGGTCATCCTAATATATCCTTTACACGAGTGTTCATAAAAAAAATAGTCTATAATGAAATTTTTTGAGTCATTTAATAATTTTCGTTGGATAAAAATAGGATCTTAACTCAAAAAATTAAGGAAAAATATGAGAGATTAGCAAAATTGACTAACTGTGAGCGTGGAGAAGGGACAATAACTAAGTAGTAGAGGATGTAAATGCAAGGATTATAGTATGCAATGGAAAAAAGACACCATGGTGTTAGGGTCAAAGATGAAGGGGAGAACTAATGAAATGGTTTTAAGCAACATAAATTCAATGAGAGATGTGGGTGGTAGTGATGAGAAAAATGAGGTTGTGAAGGGAAAAAATGGTGGCAAAGGCAATGAATTGGTGTAAAGGATAATAGGGATAAGATGATTATTATGGGCAAACCTATATGCATTTTCCGCATTTTAATTTGGTCCTTCTTTTTATGTCACTTTAATCCTTATCCATGCATGCTATTAGTTGGTCTACGGTCAATGGTATGTTGGTATATAATGTGATAACAATTAAGTTTAACCAAAAGAATTTAACAAAAGGACTAATATGAAAGGTAATTTATACAACAATTGAGTTTAACCAAAACATGTATATCCAAACAATCTAATGGATTTGACGTAGTTGTTAGACACCTTACGCTTACGTTGTAGAAATGATTTATTTAGCAAATTCTTATTCGATTTTCACTATGTGTGAAAACTTGTTGGATCAACAATAATCATAATACTACTAGTTATATTAGTCTTTGACATAGTGAGTTAGAAATACACATGACTAAAAAAAAATGTATATCTCAATACAAGGATCTTTTTTAAATTTTAAATACTTACTACTTTATTCTCTATTATAAGGAAAAAAAAACATATATTTTTTGTTTTAAATATAAGTAAATCTAACTACTTTTGTCTCATTTAATAATATTTTTTTTTATTTCTAAAATGTCTCTTCTTTAATGTATAACCTTTTTAGTTGCATTATTTTTTGTCATTTATAACAAGGACAATTTATGAAAAATCTTGTAGAAATAGAAAAATCTAATGCAAATAACTAACTTTCATAATATATAACATATATAAAAATGATAGTTTGATTTAGTGTATATATTTTTAGACAACTTTTCATTTATTTTTTAAATAATAAAAATAATATTAAAAATTCATTATCCTTATAAACACAAGACTTAAATGTAAGACTTTAAGATTTGAAAATCAAGTACATTAATTGATTCAATAAATATTGATAATTTTTAAATATTTTATTAAATAAAATATAGAGATATAAAATATGTCAATTTCACTAGTATATGTAATTTTTTTTTATATAATAAAGAATAAAAGGAGTATAACATAAGTTTAAAAAAACTTAAATACAATTTTAGTTAAGTTATTTTTTCAAACGGGTCTTTCATAATATATTAGAATTATAATATAAATATATTACATAAATGAATTCTTTAAAAAAGATAATTTTCTATAAATAAAAAAAAATGTGTGCTGCGAAAAGCGAAAAAAGAAGTGTAAATAACATGTACCCCAATTATAACATACATAGACTTGGGCCAATCTTCATGTGAAAGCGACATCCAACCCAATGGACTTCTAAATCTATCCAATGTCTTGTTGGTGAATCTCTTCTAACTTTTTGACCCAAGTTGTGTTGTTACTTCGTTACTCAATTCCTCACTCGTGGTAGTAGTGAGCAACTAAATGACATGGCAGGTAAACTTCAATGAGCCTTCCTGTGAAAGTAGAGCACTTTTTTTATGGGACAAATAGATTAATTTAAGGTTTTTTTTTTAAATATCACTCAATATTATAAATTTTAGTAGTATTTTATTAATCCTCTAATTTTTTTTATTAAATATAATTATCACCTAAATACAAAAGTTAGAGCTTATTGAGCCCCATTGTAGATGCCTGGTAAATACAAAACTAAATACCTACAACAAATGCAAACTCGCGTTTGAGATGCAAACCCACATATGGGATACAACAAATGTCATAAAAAATAACTTTCATTTTTCAATAAAATGTTATGTAATGTAAAAATAACATTATCTCTAGAAAAAAAGAGAGAAAGAGTGGAACTTGAATTTTACTTGGAAATCAATATTCAATACAACAGTAGATTTTCTTTTTTGAAATATAAAATACAACAGTACATTTGTGAAGTCCCCAGCGGGTGCCATAACATAATAATGATAAGATAGTAATTATATGATATAAATCACCTCAGCTACTTTCTGGAATCATACAGCTGCAAGAATCAATGCCTCTCTTGACATGTTTTTTAGGCTATGTCATGTATGAACAATCAATAATACCTACTAGATTTTTAAGTAACCTACCCCACATTGCAAAATCTAAAAATGGAGAAATTATTATTGCATAGAATACATGTTCCCGGTCATTCTCCATATAACACACAATGAAAAGAAGTTAATTAATATTAGTAGCTTGTAATTATAATTATTTTTCCTAAAATTGACCCCCTTGGAAGGTTTGACCAAACTGCCAATTAGGTGGTGCCACGTTGTAGCTTGTGAGAGTTCTACCGTCACTGGCGGTGACTTGAAAAGAGAGGGTTTGTCCGTTGAGGTAGGAGTTGCTTTGCCAATTTTGCCCCCAGTTTCTTGACATGGGTAGCCAGCTAGTTTTGGACCCTTTGATGGAGACTGCATGGACATCCCCTGCACCCGCGACGTTGGTGATCAAAACCAGGTTGAAGTAAGAGTGGCCATTGATTGTGAACCTTATTCCTCCCTTTTTCACACAAGCCACTCTGTCATCATCACCAAATAGTTAAGAGAAATGTTTTGGTATAGAAGCAACCCCAATTTTCAATGGTGATGAACAGGCCAGTAGTTACAATTTACAAAGACCAAGTGCTTGATCTTTACTAGGTCTCGAACGAGGGTAGAATTGATTTTCAAGATTTACCTTGACTTAATGTAGTTAATATAATTCATAATGTATAGCTGAAAGGGAATTGAAATGAATTTCTAAGTTTGAAGAAATTGGTTCACACTCGTGATCTAGATCAATTATCTTTTTTTTATTTTTTATTATTATTTATAAAAATTGATTAGTACGCGAAAACTGTTTAGTTATCTACTGAAAACAAATTTATTGGAATCAGACAGAATTATTATGCACACAAAAAAATTTCATAAAGTATTTTATTACAACTATATATTCAAAGATTAGACTCGAGAGATTCATATTATAGATACATGATGAAGTCACCAATTAGTTTATGGGTTGAGTCGTACCTTCTAAATGCCACAGGCACAATTCCAGCTCTATATTGGGCAATTTGCAGGAAGGCTGGTTCTGCCATATCAAAGTGTTGCAGAGGAGGGTTGCACCAACCACCATTGTTGTTGGGCAAAGCAAAGTTTGGAGGGCAGAAGTTTGTAGCAGTAACAACAATGGTGCCAGGCTTGCACCATCTTGGGTCATCATCACACCTCATTTCATAACATGCCCCACAACTCAACCCGTTGTTGAACAAAGCAGTGCTTAGAGCTGCAGTGTTAGTTCCATATCCTTGACTATACAAATTCCCATAACCACATGCACCTCCTGCATGTATCAATAATCAAACAAAAAGCTTAAGTTGTGTAAATAATGTATGCACTATTTATATATTATATTTTAGTCATATTACTAGATGATATGAGATGTTGAATAGATTAAAAACTAAACTCACCCATTGTGCCAGAAGCATCACCACCGCCGTAGAAAGTAGCGTGGCCACCCTGCCAACCGCCATCAGCAGTGGCAGCCTGGAAGTGCATTTCAACGAAGAGAAGAATGAGAATAGCTAGCGCAAAAGAAGATGCCATGTTGGAAGCTTCTTGGTTCAAAAGGGGAATGTGTAGTTATTTTGCTCTGCTTTGATGTTGAAAGCAATAGGGGCCTCTATTTATAAGCATCATTTGGTGACTAACATGCACAATGGTAGGGTTATTTCCTTAAAGTCACAGAACAAGTTCCAAATCAAATGCACATGCGATGGTTCTAGTTGGGATTCCCAACTGCTAATCTTGTAGGCCAATACCATATTTCTTATAGCCACTTCATTAGGATTTTAATTTTTTTTTTCTTCTATTTTTCCTTCTTCAAAATTGCCAAGAGCTTAGCTAGCTAGCTACCATTATAGGTTGATTGCCTAAGAGTGTTACAACTAGGGGATTCCTTCCAAACTATTGGACAAGCATTAATAGCATGTTATTAGTAGAGATTTGTTTAATCAATGTATAGTTTTAAACTGAAAGTACTTGGTGAAGATCAATAAGTAGTCGATTTAAGTATAATAAAATTCAAATTTTTTAAACAAAATTTTGAGTTTAAATGTATATTTATTTTAGTATCACGTTAATTTTAACTCACATCCTGAATAAAAAAAGTCATCATATTTATGAATGTTAATCCAAATATGTATTGAATCTTATAGATGAAAAATAAAGTAATTAAATTTGAAAGAAAATATTTTAAGTTTTTTAATAGAAATTAGTCATTGTTAAAATTAATAAATATTTTGTAATAATAACATTGTTATTAAAAAAAATTACAAGTAATTTTACACAATTCCAATTACTCAATTGGGATATAGATCTTCTCTTAAAATTTGACAAAGAAGTGAAATTTTAGCAGCTTCAAAGAGAATCAAGTTTATGTTGATAACAAATTATGAAAATTAATTCCAAATCTTAACGACTTTAATTAATTCATATTTGCGAATACCATTTGGTGGTACTTGATGTTTACGAGTCTGAATGACAAAAGCTATAATTGCATTCCCAATTGAATTAGGTAGGGTAGGGTTTTAATTAAGGAAATCATAAACTGAACATTATCTTAGCACATGAAAGGGTATCTGTCTATCTGGGTGATCAAAAGCAAGAACAGCTGAGGGCATTTGCATGATATATGCTCCCCCTTTCCCACGCGCAAAAGAGGATAGTATCTTCTATGTGCTTCACCGTTTGGCACATAAACAGGATTACATAGGGCATGTGTCATTAACTATATTGTGGTTCTTTAATATGAATAAAGTTCTTGGAATAATTTAATAGCAACATCCTTGCCTCCAATCCGTTTGCAATTGAGATTAGAGCCTTGGAGAAACATGGTTGGATTGAGACATGGCGTAATAATGTGTGCCCGTGTGTGTGAAAAAAGAAACGAAGAATGATTGAGTTGATGTGCATGCTCATAATTTTTTATTAGATGAGATGGATATTAGTTGTTGCACATATGATACTCGATCGTTCATTATGTATTTGACACCCAAAAGCCCAAAACACATGCAGATGAACCATACCAGCATAGTTGTTGTTATTTTTTTTTCTTCCTTTTTGTGAATACTAGCATACAGTGATAAAGTCATTCAATTTGTTCTCTTGGAAATCTAATACGCAAGACTTCAAATAATTATGATTTTTTTTTTCTCACCCTAAATTTTACCCATTATAATTCCTTTTATTTTTTTTTTGTTTTTCTTTAATTTTTCTCTATCAAAGGCATATATGGGTATGTGGAAGAGGATAATCATGATGATGCATACATACAGGATGGTAAACTAAGAATCATATCAAATTGATGAAGAAACTACGTACTCTTTGTTATTTTTATTGGATATGGAGAGAGCAATGATCCATCTTTTGGATTTATTCCAAACACACTTAATTTTGTGAAAAATGTTTTTATAATATGTATTAGTTTATATTAATATTTTTATATATATTTATCAATTGTAGTATTAATTATTTTAATTTAAGTAAATTAAATAGGATCAATATAAGTAATTTGAATGAGAATTAGAGTTAACGCTTTTGTTAAAAGTATTTATTTTAATTATATATAATTTTCTATATAAATTTTTAATAATTTCCATGAAAGAGAGTGAGTGAAAAAGTTGGCAGCCTCTGTAGACAGAGAGATTAGGATATGCAAATTTCTGTTGACAGTTAACAGCCTCCTAATGAATCCATCATATGAAGCACAATAAAAATGTTTTAATTTTTCAATCACAAAATCTAGTGTATATGACACTTCCAATTTCTGAATTCAGTTAAAATAAATGTGGATGAACCTGCCACAAAGTCTTTTTCTAATTTTGCTTTGCATTCATAACTTTTGCTATTTTATAAAATAAAAATAATCTAATGATTGGCTTGTTTCTTCTTGAGCAAACATGTCCTGTTTAGGAATTTTCTGGCTTCGAACTTTTTCAATTTTCACCCCAAGAATTTCGCATTGGAGTAACCATATTTAGTTTAAGATTATTCGTGATAGTTAACAAACTTTATTATTAAAATGTTAACAAGTATCAAGGACAAAAAGTGATTTTTTCATTGAAAAATGTAAAAATACATTTTCCACGGTTTTCAGTGTAACTTATAAATAAACATTTATAATTTATAATTTATAATTTATATTATAACCTTTTTTTAAAGACACCCGTAATATTAACATGGATATGCACATTGTATATAATACTATTCCATATCTTTGCGTAAATCAGATCCACATGAACAATTTTACAGGACAAGGAAGAAATGTATTTTTGGAGAGCAATATTTGTTCTCATTACTTTATTATTATTATTATTATTATTATTATTATTATTATTATTATTATTATTATAAATCAAGATAGTTTATGATGAAAAATTAAGAATTAATTTTTCAAAATACTAAAATTTATTTAAAGAGTTCAACTTTTTCAACAAATATCTTTCTATATATACAAATAAATTAATATTTTAATTTGTACAATGTACAAAATAAATATTTATTATACATAATTAAAATTTGTAATAAATTATATACAAATAAATATTAGGTTTAAATATATGAATTATATTTAAATTTACATAAATAAATATTTAAAACATATAAAATATATTTTAGATTTATGATAAATAATTTATATTATGAATTTATAGCACATTATCATTTGTATTTATTGATAATTTATTTCAAAAGTTTAATTCATAAATAATTATGATAAATAAAAATTAAATTAGATAAGAAGTCAAAATAATTTATAAGAAAAAACTCCTAAAAATTTCCTCATGCAATATAGATTTATGTTTAATATATAAGAGTTGTTGGTCAAACTCTTGACTATATATTTAAAGAATAATATTATCTATCAACAATCATGTTACATATTTCATTGATTTTTCTTCTCTTTATATATTTATGTAACGACCTGCCATGACCTTTACACTCTATGAATCATGCAACTATACTAATTGTCGATCAGGATAATCATTAACTGAATAATAATGCATATATGAATATACAAGTAAAATAAATAAAACCTCTATTTATACAGATACAAATCACCTATAAAATATGTATATAAATATATACATTCATCCAAAATCATGGTAATGTCCCGGTGTTGGTCAAGCCCTATAACTAATACATCCTATATTAATAGGACATCAGGACCAAAAAAAATCTCACACCTCCGCAACGGCCACCACAACTCCAAGCTAGCCCTAATCTGCTCTCATACAAAGTATGATCATCGCAGTCCATTCATATGGAAGCTAGAATTCAACAAACAACCATACAAGCATAAAAATAAACATCTATCCTACTCAATTATCAAGTCACCAAATCATAAAGTCAAACACCATATACTTATCATAACAACAATCATGCAATTAAGCAACACAGGAAAGATATCAATGCACATCTATCATCTAATATGTCGTCACGCATTCACCTAGGATATCTTCCTAACAATTGAGCAGTATAAGTGACATCTCATCCTACCAAAACCATTCTAACCGTTTTCACGCCCAATGCGACAACTCGGTCATAACAAACCAAGATATTAATCCCCACTTGGGTTTACTCAAATGATGCCACTTACATACTTGGAAGTCCGGTTCCACCATCAGGTGTAACACAACTGGGTACAGGCTTACCACGACCTTAACATGCATTATCAAGTCACTTGTGGAGTTCGTCCACCGGTTATCCTCAAGGAACCATGCACCTTCCCCAGTACTTGGTTAATGGAATAACCCTCGACCTTATATCCCACTCCAACACTAGCCAAGGACTTATAGGAGACTCACACAAACCAGTGGTCTATCCAAGTACCACTCTCACCCAAAATCAGTGGCCTATTCAAGCACCACTCTCATCCAAACTAGTGGTCTATCCAAGCACCACTCTCAAGAGACTCTATGTGAGCTCTTCTAATTCGAAAACATTTTCCTTCTCCTCAAGTCCTAGGCTAGACACGTGCCATAAGGCATCACGTGCAACAATGCATCATACATCATACATGGTCAATCCACCACATGATCAATATCATCCTTATATGAAAGTTCATATTTAAACATTCATATATATATATATCATTACCAAGCATACATATAATCAACCACCAATTTTCATCATATATCATACATATATGAACCAACTACACAACATATAAATAACTCCAATAACATGTAACATGTTCAACACATACTATTCCTCATCATACCACATCTCTACAACTTATTTAACATCATTTGACCATAATACAACTCAAGCAACAAGCTTCCAACATACTACTGATCCATCATGAAGGCAACCAACTTAATTAGAAAAGAATTTTATTAAACTAAGTCCCCACGCTCAGCTTAGAAACTCACGCTCAGCCTTAGCCTTCTAGAGGAACAACTCAGCTCTCACGCTAAGCATAAAATCCCACGCTCAGCGTCAGTCTTCCAGAGGCACATTTCACTCTCACATTAAGCCCAAAATCCAACGCTTAGCATCCCAAACCCAGAAAATTCATACCAGTAGATGAACAACTCAAATTTCCCAATCCTCTCAATCCATGCAATGATTAAGACATGCAACCCAAAATACTTCAAGCATTAACATCATATAACTCAGA